CCAAATCAACCTCGAATTCAAGCATAAGACTTTTAAACTTCCAACTTTTGCCAATTCAAGCCTAATTCTACCACGGACCTCCAAATTATATTTCGGACATACACCTAAGTCTAAAATCAACCAACGAAGCTAATCGAATTATAAAAATCCAAATCCAAATTCGTTTACTCATAAGTCAACTTCCGGTTGACTTTTCTAACTTAGCTTTCTAATTAAGAGATTAAGTGTTCATTTCACTCCAAAACTACTCCGAACCCAAACCTACCAACTCGATACAACTCAACACAGCTGAACAACACATAAAGAAACAAAAATGAGAGAACGGGGCTACAACTCTTAGAACGACTAACCGGGTCGTTACATCCTCCCCCTCTTAAACAAACGTTCGTCCTCGAACGAGTCTAAAAACATACCTGGAGTCTCAAATAGATAAAACCTTCAGCAATACCTTCTCGTCACATTCAAATCATATGAACTCATCTCGCAGTCAAATCATACTCTCCACATAGCCATCAAATCACAAATCCCACTAATAGGGACACCAACGGACATATAAACACGTGCTCACACAATCAAAATTTTGGTACTCCAGCTACCGACAAAACCCGACCTCAAGTACCCCAGACTAGCTCAACATCAACACACAGAAATCACATCTCGTACCTCATCTAGGGAATCATAATCCGTCGATGCACAACTGATACCGAGCGCTCATGTGCGCATACGAATGCGTTGAAGGAATTCAAAGAGTTACACTTCAAGCTGAATCAATACCGCACGATAAGAATTCAAGAAGGTGAAGTTTTCCTAAAGGTTCTGCAGCCTCTCGAAGATAAGTACAGACGTCTCCGTACCGATCCGCAAGACTCAACTAAACCCGCTCATGACTCGTGAGACCTATGTAACCTAGGCTTTGATACCAACTTGTCACGACCCAAAATCTAACCATGGTCGTGATGGCGCCTATTGTGTTACAAGGCAAGCCTATTCCCAAAATATTACTACTAATTTGATTATAAGAATTTAATAAAATATTTCCAATAATTTAATTCCTGATAAACTAAACCAACTCTAAATATAAAAATATAAAATACGGAACGAGTCCCAAACATCGGGGTGTCACTAAGTCATGAGCGTCTAAAACTATGAACTAAGAAATATAATTGTCTAAAATAAGAAATGACAAGAGGAGTAACAAGACCCTGCGGACGCTAGCAGCTACCTTGCAATCTCCACAGATAGCCGGTCTGAACTCAACAATCGCCGCGCTCCAACTCACCTGGATCTGCACATAAAGTGCAGGGTGTAGAATGAGTACAACCACCTCAGTAGTAACAGAAATAACTAAGGAACTGAGCAGTAGTGACGAGCTGAGCAAAATAGTCCAATTATTTATTTTTCACAATTTTAAAAATAACAGGAATAAACAGGTAAATTCCATAACTCAGTAAACGCCACAAATAAATTTAACAGATAAATGCAGCAACAGCAAAAGTAAATGCAACCTCACAGCAATGTCACTCCATCACTCAGCACTCGCACTCAGCACTCAACACTCAACACTCAATACACTCAACACTCTGCGCTCACTGGGGGTGTGTACAGACTCCGGAGGGGCTCCCAAAGCCCAAGCGCTAAGCACGGCCAACTCACGTGCTACCATATCAATACCTGGATCCGCACGGTCAACTCACGTGCTACGCGGACAACTCACGCGCTATGGTATAAATACCTGGACCCGCACGGTCAACTCACGTGCTACGCGGACAACTCACGCGCTAAGGTATTAATATTCTCACAACCAGGCCATCATATCAATACTTGGATCCACACGGTCAACTCACGTGCTATGCGGACAACTCACGCGCTATGGTATAAATACCTGGACTCGCACGGTCAACTCACGTGCTACGCGGACAACTCACGCGCTATGGTATTAATATCCTCATTCGATGTCTAAATTCGACGATTCTTTTTGCTACAGGTCCATAATTACAATACGGATCTAATGTTTCAATCAAAAAAGAAACCTGAGCTCATTTGTTCAATATGATATCATTTATGCTTGAAGAAACGACGTCGAAACATAAGAAAAACGAGCGCAACACAACCCAAACCTATTCAAAACTCATCTGAGGCCCTAGGGACCTCAACCAACAATTCCAACAAGTCATATATCACTACCCGAACTTAGTCAAACCTCCGGAACACCCAAAATAACACCAAATCAACCTCGAATTCAAGCCTAAGACTTTTAAACTTCCAACTTTTGCCAATTCAAGCCTAATTCTACCACGGACCTCCAAATTATATTTTGGACATACTCTTAAGTCTAAAATCAACCAACGAAGCTAATAGAATTATAAAAATCCAAATCCAAATTCGTTTACTCATAAGTCAACTTCCGGTTGACTTTTCTAACTTAGCTTTCTAATTAAAAGACTAAGTGTTCATTTCACTCCAAAACTACTCCGAACCCAAACCTACCAACTCGATACAACTCAACACAGCTGAACAACACATAAAGAAACAAAAATGAGAGAACGGGGCTACAACTCTTAGAACGACTAACCGGGTCGTTACAATAGAGATTAACAACCAATCAAAACTATATTAACATCACAATAAATTCATCCCCAACGGGTTCCACCAAAACTTTAGATTAGAAAAGTTAGCTACTCATGAAAATAACAAAAATCACAAAAGAATTCATATTCAAAGGTAAAAGAACAAAGAAGAAGATTAAAGATTGATGCCCAATGACCCTCCTTGCCTCTTGCCCTTCATTCTGATGTTTTTCACTTCCAAAAATCATTCTCTTTTTCTTGGCCGGCTTCCTTCGTTTAATATAGGGTTTAGGGCTTAAAATCCCGTATTTTGCACTTTGGTCCCTGAAGTTTACGCGTCCTGCCGCGGTTACGCCAGGACCGCGGCCAGAGTGGCCTTCGGAATCTGCAGCAATGACCTACCGCGGTCCTACCGCGGTTACGCCCGGACAGCGGCAGACCAGCTTCAGTTCTGGTTTTGTCCCTTCGCTTGGTGCACTTTGTGGATATTGTATGATTGGCCTCCTTTTCTCTGTAATTGATCCCAAAAGTACTCCACAGACTTCTTTTATTGGATATAGCCTGCAAAGCATGAAAAGCACTAATCAGAGCATTTTGTTATCACTTTTTACCGTAAAAGCTATATAAAAATGTGGTTCTTTAGGGCCTAATTATAGTCTAATTTACCTATTATCATACGTTCGAAAATATCTAAAATAATTTTATTTATGTACAACTTTTGCAGATTCGCATTCACTACATTATTCTGACATGAACTTTGATGTGCTATGTCCTCTCTTTTCCATAAATAATTTTTAATTTTTGTCTATCATCACTAATATATTATACTCAAATTATTATCTTAAACGGTTTCAAGTCAAACGTGTTACATAAATGAGGAAAATGTACATTATAAACGGCCCAAGTAGAGAATGATGATGATAAGTTTTTGATAACATAACCGGCTAGAAAAGAAGAAAAGTATGCCAAAAAAGGCGGTGTTTTGGTTCTAAATTAGTCATTAAGAGTGTGTGAATGCTGGAGATATCCACTCCATAATGATTTATATTATGCCTTGAGAGCTGGGATTATTCTTTTTGGTCTAAAGACCCCCAAAAGAAGAGTGACACTCCTTTTATCTTTTTGATAAATAAACTGAGTCCAAGTATAACAAGTTTCATATGTTTACCTGTGGGTGGAAAAGTTCTTTTCTTTCCTTCTCCAACTCGAAGGTTTGGTTTCCGAACTAAGAAGAAAGGTCTCAAAGTTAATACTATGATATTTTCTTTATTAAACAATTTTTTTCTGCAGATAGTCTAATGTTTTCTTCCACGACTATTTCTATAAATTAATATCTTAGATATTGTGCACAATTAGATAGTGTCATATAACATAAGGTGGGAGTAATATACTCCTAATATATTGTGCGGTTTAGAACAAAATATAATTTGGAGGAAAGCTTTTATTATTATTATTATTTATTAATCCCACCATCCCTCAGAAAAAAATAAAAGAAAACAGTCTAGACAATTGTGCAAATGGAGTAATTATGCATGCATTAGCTTCCAGCTTCTCTAGATAATAAACCCTTATTATTGCTAAAATATCAGCTTCCAGCTTCTCTTAAGGTATGATATATAATCGACGTACATTGAGTACAAAGAAAAAAGATTTGATAAAAGATTCTATATTCTCTATCCTGTTTCTAAAAATGCTATTTATTATTGTATTAAATTGAAGAAGAAAAAAACGAAACAATCCAAAATGAAATCCAGATCTTTTGTGCACAATTAAAGGAACGGGCGACATCAAGGAGCCAATAATTAGGGGCATTGGCCAACATTAATTGATAAATAATTGAAAAGACAAAGCCACACACCCACTGAACGAAAATGAAAGCAAACATAAAAGTACTTTACAACAATTTTCCAATTAACACATCGCAATAAATAAGTAAAGAGTTACATAAAGGGTCAACATTTCGGGCCACATTTGCATCTTTTGTGGACAATTCCTTTAGCAAAAGTAAAATTAAAGACCATTTTTATAAACACAATACGCTCGTCTTACTTTTTTAGGATTTAACCTCTGACCCTAACATCATATAGTTTTTCCACATCAGGTTAAGGTAATCTACTATAATAGATAAATTTCGTGCAACAATCTTGATTTGATAACACAAAATAATAACAACAACAACAACATACTCAATGTAATCTCACTTTGTGGGGTTAGATCTTACCCCTACTTTTTAAGGTAAAGAGACGGTTTCCAATAACATAAGAAATCGATTAAATAACTCGTTGCAATCAATTAAAAAGAACTAATAATATATATAAAACAAAATACTTTATTTTCTGAGTATAATATAAATTAAATTCATTCCTTTATTAAGTCCCACAAACACTTGATTATGTATATCATATTAATTCTAGCTTTTGGCCCTTCGTTGTCAATAGTCTCATCCACCGAACCAACTTAACTTGTTGCCCTCCCCATAAAACCCACAACACAAGTCTCTCTCTTTCTCATTTATATATATTCTTCACTACTTGCATTATATTGCTTTCCCCCAAAGATAAGTGAAATTCGAGAGAATATGGGTGTTCTTGATTATTTTTCAAACTTTTGCTATGATACCAGCATACGACGTAACAAAAGGAAACCATTGCAGGTACTTTAATTTCTACTTTCTACTCATATTATTACCCTCCAACGCTAGCTGCTGTTAGGATTCAAGTTGATAATATCATCTTTTATTACCCTTTTTGTTTAAAATTGTCTACGTACCATGTTAAAATTGTCGTCTTTTTGTTTTTTCGTTGTTAGACGGTGGAGATAAAAGTGAAGATGGATTGTGATGGATGCGAAAGAAGAGTCAAGAATGCCGTTAAACGGATGAAAGGTTCTTACTCTGACTATCTCCAAGAATTGTAATTTTAAATGATAGAAGAAAATAAATATAATTAACTCCATGCTTACAGTTATATGAAATTATTTTTACTTTGAAGTGGAGTTGCATGTATATTAATTCTCTGGGGAATAACCTATATTTAATTTAGAGTAAACCAATCGTCGAAAAATGGAATACTTGTCTAGAAGGAAGATGAAATGCTTCTATTTCAAGTGAAGAAAATTCATAACTTTATGCCTTTCTTGGGCGAAGCTCTTCTGATATTTGCTGTACTACTTTTATCATTTTCTTTCACTGTCACTTGCTAAATTAATACACTGACGTTGAAGCTTAAACACATGACCCTATACATCGGGCTATATAGGCCAAACTAAAATTTCAAACTTATGGGTTCAAAATTCTAATTCTTTTAAGTTATTTGTTCTAAATTAATATTTGCACATAATTAATGAATTTTTAAAAAATAAATACAAAGTTTGAACAAAAGCTATTAGGTTCGGTCGAACCCATAGCCGGTAGCTCCGCCCCTGTCGGGCTACATAGTCCCAAGGGGTTCAATTAAATCGCCTCTTTCAAAAAATTATATTTCGATAAAATTAAAAACATTTTTTTTTCTATAAATATTAAGTACTGAACCGCTTAACATAAGTGAAGCCTCTAATATATAGCATGCAGCAGAGGTGACTCAAAGATTAGGTTACCCTTTAAATCCAAAATATGATATTCTTGAAATATTTTGAATCCTTTTATTAGAACTCTTAGGGATCGGAATAACAGATTCCAGGATGAGTTATACCATAATTTTATCTTAAACAAGCGTGGGATAAACTTATTTTAAATTTAGTCCTGCAATTAATTATCCCTGGTACGAAATGAAATCTTAGTTTGCCACTGCATGTACATATTGGTTTCAACCATGAACTAATTATTGGCATTTGATTTTCTTTTTGCAGGTGTGAAAACAGTGGAAGTGATTAGAAAGCAAAACAGGGTGATAGTGAGTGGTTATATTGAACCACAGAGAGTGTTGAATAGAATAAAAAGCACAGGAAAAAGAGCAGAGATGTGGCCATATGTTCCTTATAATTTGGTGTCCTATCCATACGTAGCTCAGGCATATGACAAAAAGGCTCCTTCTGGTTTTGTGAAAAATGTACCACAGGCACGTCTTACCCCTAATGCTACTGAAGAAAAGATTACTTACCTTTTTAGTGACGACAATCCCAATGCTTGTTCTATTATGTAAATTCTCTATATTTTCTTTTTCCTACTTAATTCCAAGATCATCTTTTTTTTCTTGTTTGGTCTTTTGGAATTTCGGAAAAGAATATTATGTATTTTTCTCATAATTAAGATTGGGCTTAGATACAACCAATGGTTTGATCAATGGAAGATTACGTTTATGAAACGAGTACAATGTTTTGTTGCGCCTTACTTGAATTTGAAGAAGCAAATATCTCTTGTATTACCATCATTAAACAACATTTTTCTTCAGTTTAAGTGTTACGCATTGATTGGGTAAAAAATATTTACACAAGAAGGCATATACATATAATTCTAGTTGATGACATTGATTAATAATAAAGAAATAAGTGGTAAGTAACTCGTTATAATAGGTAAAATTACATTATTCATATAAAAATTATTAAAATGTCAATATATAACTTATATCTTCGAGATGGGGATATCTAAGGAATGATTTTTCACTACAATTTTTTTTTTATATCATCTCCCGCCTTTAAACTGTTATAAAAGTGGTAATAATCATTTAATTTTTAAAATTCCCTAAATAATCACAATTATTTGGGATAACAACTTTACAGAACAAAATTTTTTATACTTGTTTTATTCTAGCCTTTTACTTCAGCACTCTACTTGATATTTGGTCAGTAGTTATTTGCGTATTCTTTTATTCATGTTTCCTAAGAAGGAGGAAGAGGGAGTGTTTATTGATCCCTAAATTTAAGGTACTTTCCATTTAGTCTCCTGGAGTTTAGCCAGTCAAAGGTTCTTTTCGTCTTTTCGACGCTCGTGCTATGGCTTGTGTGGAGCTCAACGGTCTTAGAATTAATTAAACACAACAATTTAAACAATAATGTGACCATATTTCTTCCTTCTTTTTTTTGTTTTAAACATTTTTCCGAGTGAAGTTACCCCTTAAATTGTGAAGAAGAAAATATTTTTTAAAAAATGATCAAAACATGTTGTCAGTGTCCAAAAGAAGAAAGATGATAGACAACACGGTATTTTAGGTTGCAGCAACAGCAAGAAAACAACAAGGGCATCAAGACAAATAAAAAGGAAGGAACTCATGAGCATCAACACAAAAAAAAGAAACGGTAACAAAGAAGATTTTTTTTTTTTTTTTATACATATTGCACAACTTATGGAGTAGGGTAAAAGTTACATGTCCACTTAGCAACAAGAATAACATATTCAATGTAATCCTATAAGTGCGGTCTAGAGAAAATAGAGGGTACGCAGACCTTATCTCTGCCTTTAAGAAGGCAGAAAGACTGTTTTCGGATAGACCCTCAGCTCAGGAAAAAAAAAAGTGGGGCAAAAGTTATATATCCACTTGATTGCACCTTTGAGGAGAATAAATACCTAAATATCAAAGATATTTGCTACCTCATTAGAAGTTTAAAATTTAAAACAGAATTTACACTTTGCATCGAAACATTTGGTGAAGGTTCTAGTACGTTGTATTCTTTCAATTCCAATGCTACTTAAATGGTGGTGACTTGCCCACTTTCACCCACTCATGGAGGGGTAAAGGGGAATTATTCCTGTAATACAAATTATTAGTTGTTAAAATCTTGCTTAATTTTGATCCTAAAAAGTTTTAAAATCTATTCTTTTCTTAGTTTGAAAGAAGAGGATAGAGAATATATGGAGGATGGAATCAGCAAAACAATTAAGGCAAGGAATTAGGAAGAGGAGGGATTCAAATTGAAGACATGAACACATCACTTTACAAGATTGTGCCATTGTATAGTGACATACAGAATCTTATTCTTTCCACATATGATGGAATTTAAGTTGCTTTTATATATGAGCTAAAGATTACAAAAAGGATCCTTTGATTACCAGCAGCCACTTTTCAAATTCGACAATGGCTTTTCACTCTGCTTATTATCAGTAAATCATTGCTTAATTCACTTATTACTCTTTAACTCCCTTTTTCCTACTTATCAACAAAGAGTAAGGTCTCATTTGTTTGCGGCTGGTCTGAATCTTCATCATTCAGATCTCAAACATTAAGTGCGTTTATTTTTAAAGTCTGAATTATGCAGATCTTAATTATTAAGTGTGTTTGTTTTTTTTACTTTACAATCACTTAATGGGTCTGAATAGGTCTGTATGATTAAGAACTATAACAGAGACTTAATTTCATTAAGATGCTATCACATATTCACTATTAACTGCCGCCACCGCCTATCATTATCAACTACCACCATGCCGCCACCACCACCACGCCGCCACCATCCTCAACCATAGCCGCCACCATTATCGACCATCACCACCCAATATCCCCACCACTCCGACCACCATCATTCTCCCCCACAATCAACACTCATCCACCTCAACTACCACAACTGATACCCCATCACCATCAACAACTACAACCGACACTGCCCATCATTATAACCTACCACCACCAATCCACCACCTTCCTCAGTCACAACTATTACCACCACCCGCTATTATTAACTATCATCAACCACCACCACCATCCTCAATCATAATCGCCACCACTACCAATCACTACTAGCTACCAGCATAAACCATCATCATCAACCAAAACTACCACAAACCACCGCCTCTAGTCGGCATTCACCCGTTAGCCATCACCACCAACAACTATCATATTTTTAAAAAACTATATATTTTATTGATAGAATATTAGATTAGTTATTTCATTTGAATTTTAAGTTTTTTAATTTTCAAATAAAGATAAATTCTATACATTCAGATGTTAAAAATCAAACAGTCTTAATTATTTCTATTCAGATCTTAATACACATCTTAATCTATACAGATGTTTTATTCAGATTCAGATGTCTTAATCTTATTACACATCTTGATATTCAGATGTGTATTCAGATTCAGACGTCTGAATCTTAAAAAAAAACAAATGAGGCCTAAGAGTGTGATCGCACCTTTTCCTAAATTATTCAACGCCCTTAAAATTTATCATTTTAATGATTTACTGGATTATGAGTGACAATTATAAGAAGAGTTATAGTTATATGCACCGATGATGTCAAAAATATATGAAAAATAACTTGTTATAATAAAATCAAAATCTCATAACAAGTGTTCAAGTTTCATATAAAAAAAAAAATATATTCAAATCACTTATAATGTAATTACATATAAATCTTTATGATAAATATTAGTAAAAGATAACCTGATAAAAATATAATAACTCACTATCACATATTAAAAATTTACAAATATAATACATTTCAGAATGAGGGCAGACTCATAGTCATCTGCGATATCTACTCTTCATCTTCAACACGTACTTTTCCTAGACAAGTTCAATACATGCCTTTTCTTCAGTGTATTAATATTCTTAATTACCTCATATCTATATATACTGAAAAGGCACACATAGGAAGTACATCTAAGAATTTTTCTCGTCCATTTTTATGTGAGTTTTCAGTATGTATTTAAGATAGGAAGTTCTTATCAATTTGAAGTCTACGAGACCAAATTTTATAGAACTTTGCAAAAACTAGATTCTAACTCAACGCACTTATCAAAATTTTGAAATTTCTTCTTGGAGTTTCATTTTAGATAATCAACTTCCTGTTATTCAAAAAGAAAAAAAGAAGGAAAAATGAGTTCGAAATTTAGAATAATATTGCATTAATATATAGGAAGATAAGTAATTTTTATAAGGAGATAAGTCCGAACACTGACCAATGAGTGATACTATAGAATATCGTAACTAGCAAGCTACCATTAGAAAGGTACGCTACGCCACCATGCCCCATAAAGTAACAATTTTAGCATTCTACTTTTTACGCATTCGATAATCTAAAAATGGAGAATCATTATTATGGCTAGTATATCTTGGGGAATATATGAAGAAATAAATACTCCAACTAACAAATTTTAATGGGTCAAAAATAATACTCCCTCCGGTCCACAATAAGTGACTAATTTGTTTTTTTATTTTGGTCCAAAATAAGTGTCCATCTATATAATCAAGAAAAAATTCAATTTGTTTTTTCAAAATTATCCTTATGTACGTATCCTTAAAAAGTCATTTACTCCTCACATTTGAGAAGAGAAGTAAGTACTACTATCACTATGGTGCAACATTTAACGAAGGGTAGTTTAGTCACATTAACTATTTTTGTCTAGAATTTAATATTTCCTTAATGGGTGTGCCAAAAGCAAATTGGTCACTTATTGTGGACTGGCGGGAGTATCTGAGAGGAATTTTAACTTTTCTTGTCCTTTTAAAGACAACATAAGGGAGTATGGCGTAGACAGGAAATCTGTTAAGGATGTTCAAACTTCAAAATTTAAACAAGTCAATAATTTATTTTTGTTTATGAATGGTGTATCAAATTTTTTAGATCAAATTATGCAACATTTTGCTAAACAACAAAAAAAACTTTATAGAACTATAATTTTATAAATAAAAATTTAAATAACAAAAAGACAATATTAGAGATTTTACTAATAAATTAAGCATACCAAAAGAAAGAGAGAGTCTAGAGCATTTGTATTTTGTAGAGAGCTTTTGTTGAAGAAATTTTTATAAAGCTTGATTTTTAAATTATAAAATTTATTTAAGAAATAACTTTTAATTAAAAATTTACTTTTAAGATTAGTTGTTTATTTCTACACAAAATATAAGTTTTAAGAGTTATTTTATTAGAAAATTTTTTAGATTGAAAAAGAATCAAATAGATCACACATGGTGGTCTCCGTTTAGTTTTAGCGAACAAAATGGGCAGAACTTTAAACCTATGAACAACACGTCACTTTGAATATCCTGAACCGTTGGACTGCCTCACTTAATTGTGTTAAGGGTTTCAAAATAAAATATATAACCATATAAAGTATTACTATCTATCT